TATGTCATCGAGCTCTTTGTCACTCACTCGGAAGTTGAAGAGGACGCTTCGGGGGTCTGTGAGGGATGGGCCGCTTGGGCAGGCATGACTGCTCTCAGCATTTATTTCGACATACTAATCTTTCAGGTACTCACGGTGTTGCGGTAACTACCGTTCCAACCTTCACATCAGGCGGTTCATACGTGTTCTGGTATCAGGTAGAGGCCCAGCGGTGAAGGGAGGCGGCGTGGTATTCAGAATCGTGCAGTTGGGGATCCGGCAGGGTTGGGGTGTGAGATAGGCGGAAGCGTAGATATGTTGGGCGAGACGCTGACTCTAGCTACACTCGTTTCATCACTCACATCATTCAGGCGCTCACGTCATTCTCACATCAACTCACGCTATCACTCGCTCTACACACTACACACTCACTCAACTCGACTACATCTATCCGATCACGGGGGACAGAGTACATCATGTCAAGAGTTACATACAAGCAATGCTACATACATATTCATTTCTGTACAATAATCTGATAATAAATGATAGAATATCCTACCCAAGAATAGGAACTACTATTTGATTTCTGGAATGCGAAGTTATTAAGTGGGCTGTATGGAGCATAATAATTGGTTCTCGTTGACTGCATTTCTTATTACATCTTGATGATGAGCTTTCAGAGCAAGTACTTGACTGGGCTTCATATCTGTTACTAGTATTGGTTTCAGATTAAGAGTTAGCGGGGACGGGATAATTGAGCCGTGGAAGATCTAAAGGCTTCGGCCGTGGTGAGTGTGATACGATTGGTCGGATACCATCTGAATCGAGGTCATGTTTCGGGGAAGTCTGTCGCGATATTCTGTCTCTGTCTTTTGCTTTGTGTCATCGCTCTTTTCTTTCAGTCGAGCGGTCGGGTATTAGTGTCCTCTCTATCGATTGAATCTGGTCTTCTCTCTCTCTTCTCTTTTTCTTCTCTCTCTTTTCTCTTCGGTCTTCTATTCTCTGTCTCTGTTGATTTATTACTTCTCTCGTCATTATCCTCTTCGATCTTCTATCTCTCTCTTCTCTTGTTTCTCTCATCTTCTGTCTTGTCGTGCGTCTGCTCTCTTCGCTCTTATCTCCGCTGTTGTCGTCGGCTCTCGGCACGTCTCTAAGTCCGCTCCTCTGTTCTGGTACATGTCTTTGTTTACTATTCGTTTGTCTTTGTCTCTCGTCCTTCCCTCTTTCTTTTCTTGTCTTTACTTTCCTCTTCCCCTCTAAAAGAATTCTAGCATCAATGCAAGAACCCTAATTAACCTTGATTGATAATAGATGAACAGTTTCTTTATTTTACCTAAATTTTGGAATTGGATGAGCAGAAAAATCACAATCAGCAATAAATGAAAGATGTTTGCAGAATCCAGAATCAAATATAATTACCTGTAATTTAGATGTTATTTTGTTGTTATTGTTTGCTTACTCTTTCCTTCACCTCTAGGATGAAGAGAAGGGCTATTTTGGAAATGTAAACAACCAGGTGGATGAAGTCTGTGAAAAGATAGCTGCCGGACCCTGAGCTCCAAAAGGGAGGGAGATACCATGCTATGGGGTTCTCACAAGGAGGCCAGTGTTCTGTGAGTGTATTGTACTGAATATAGGTCCGTAAGAGTATATATATCAATATTATATAATATAATATAATATATATATTAATATAAAGTTGTTTATTTTTTATTATTTATTTTTTATTATTAGATATTTTTTCTTTCTCTTCGTTCCAGCATGTAATCCTGATTTTATTATCAGTCTATGATAAAACTGTTGATGACTGTGATGAGTAGGGCATTTTTTATTATTAGTACTTATATATTGTATTATTATTGCTATTGTTCTTGTTTTTTATTGTTGTTGTATATTATTATTGTTCCTATTATTATTATCTTCAGTATGATAATTATTGTTACATTTATAATATGCAAGAAAAAAAATACTAAGGTGTTCTAAGGCCTTCATCTGGGAATTTTTACAAACAAAATCTCACCTGGGTAGCCGAGCCATTGCCGAGCGCTGTCCTCAACCAGCCATGCGCAACCTGATCACATTTGGGGGACAACACCAGGGTATTTTTGGCCTCCCAAACTGCCCTCCCGACAACTTACTCTGCGAAGAGATGCGGCGTCTACTTAATCTAGGAGCTTACATTGAGTAATGCGTGAACAAATGCTTATGAGTGCAGCAGTTGTAAGAGTGAAGTTTTAGGTGAAGGTACAGTAGATGGGTTGGTTTTATTTTAGAGGGAGTGGCCTCTTGTGTAGATATGTGTTCTTTATTTATGTGTTAAGATGAATTCTAACAATACTCTTAGTTATCTTTCTCCATGAAGATGTCTTCTGTTATTAGGTTTTACTCTAGATTTAACAAGATCATTGATTGATACTGAAAAGGTATTTGATATTTTTTGAATGGTATAGAGTATTTTTACATTTTTTCTATAAAAGAAGTATATTATTTTGTCTTTGCAGATTTATAATTTAGTAAGTATCTGTTGCACATCTTTGGTCAATTATTTTGAACAGGAAGATTTTTGAGAAGTTGTTAGAATTCATCACAGTTTTATTTTGAGGCCAAATATGTTTTTTGAGTGTTATACAGGTAATATTTTGAAAAACAAACAATCACAAAAATACATATGTTAGAATAAGGGGTGTTGTTTCCATTTATTCATGTGTATGTTTGTCATAAAGCACCATTTCAGATTTGAGAAATTGTACAGTATATAATATAATGCTTCACTACAATTTTCACTTCAGTTTCATATCACAAAGTTAATATAAAACATTTTCTTTATTGAAAAAGGAAATTTGATATAGTACTAAGGATTGAGAGTATTCAGATATGCTATGTTCCAGTATTCTGACTTTAACTCAAAGAACAGCACTGGAAGTTCTATATATCCTGTAACTTTCTTAGGAAAACCTACATATATAATCTGAATATATTTCGGGGCATGTGCATCCAAAAGTGTTCTAGGACCAATTGCCTGGAAATGGTTTTATTAGATGTTCGGTTTGTTTAAACTTTCATCTATAACATAGGCATTAATTTGTTCATGTTAATGCACTTCAGTTTCATGACTGTACTGTATTGATTTGTATGCTACAGAGGAAAAGTTACAGAAACTGAAAATCTAATAAATAGATATCCAGGCAATGGGTCTGAAGACATTTTTGGACAAGCATACCCTCATCTGTTAAGTGCATCTTTGTGTGTATAGTTTTTCTGCTATTTTCCACATGTTTTGTATTAGAATTGTGACTTGGCCTTGACTTGTTTGGTGATGGTTTGTTGTATGCAGACGTGCAGTGGCAGAAAGGTGTCCAAAACCAGCCATGAAGAATTTTATCAGTGTGTTGGCACCACAAGGGTGTATTTGGCTTTCCTCACTGCCCTGAGTTGCCACAACAGTCGCGCTTCTGTGAATATGTCCGCAAAGTGCTGAACTATGGAGCCTATGTATCGTAAGTGAATGGCAGGCTATCCTGCTTGTTCTGTATGTCCTTCTACTGTCTTCCTATTGTTTTCTTTAAGTCCAGATTTCTTACTACTAGCTGGTTTTCCTGTTGGCATTTCTACTTGATTACAATGTTCTTTCTGCAGTAAAAAACTTTTTACTCTTTTAGTGTATCTGTACTAAATAAGTATGTCTACTTCTTTCACGTTATTAACCATCTCTTGACTATTGCAGTCATTTTGATGCAGTAAGACAACCTCTTTTTTATTTGCTTGTCATATTTTCTATTTACAAAGTGAGCTTATTACCTAGTTTAGAATTTCAAAACCCTTTTTTAATCTTAATTACTTCTTTTAGATTGAATCTGAGTATAGTTGAATTAATTGTGGATAAATTATATACCTCATAAAGATAATGTTTATTTTCTGTGTCCAGTTGGATCCAGAACTCTTTGGTACAGGCCCAGTATTGGCATGATCCCCTCCATGAAAATGAATACCGCAATGCATCCATTTTCCTGGCGGACATCAATAATGCAGAGGTTTGATATTTATGGCATTAATTTTTGGCAATAGATAAAGCAAAGTCATCTTTGCTTCTAAAACAAATCAGATAGTATTCCTGAGCCAGAACTGAAAATCATTTATATTTCTTTATCATGGAAGATTAATATACACACTTCATAATGTTTTAAAAATCAGGTTATCAACGAGTCATACCGTGAAAACCTCAAAAAGCTGGAGAACTTTGTCATGGTCAAGTTTGAGGAGGATTCCATGGTTGTCCCTCCTGAGAGCGAGTGGTTTGGATTCTACAGTCCAGGCCAGGATTCCCAGGTCTTGCCCTTGCAGCAGACACAGCTCTACATTGAGGTTGTATTTACAGTTTTATTGTTATTGGTTTGTTGATTTATATTTGATATCAACTGCAGAGATTTTCATGTGGTCAGATTCTTGTGAGGTTATTTTTAGTGTCATTTTCAAAAGAAAGAATGGAATTTAATAATTGCAAATTCTTTTTGACATAAAGGTATTGTGATAAAGAAAAATAGTTAAGCCTTAAGTACAATCTTCTGATTGTTTATCTTTGCATTCTGCTACAGTCTTAGCTTCTTTTTTTTTAATATTATGTCCTGTTATGTTACTAAATAAAACTCCTCATTACAGGACCGTTTGGGATTGAAGGAAATGGACGAAGCAGGAAAGCTCCACTTCCTTAGTCTTGCAGCTGATCATCTCAATTTTGATGACCAGTGGTTCCTGGAAGAGATTGTTGATAAGTTTGTGGCATAAGGTCACCTTGATTTTAGTGCCTTTAATTGGATGTTTCTATAATAGATAACCCTGGTTACATTGTAAATATTCAAATGTTTTTACAGATAATTATGATTACAGTATCTTTCCTCTGAATACTCCTTTTTTTTTCCAACATTTCCTCAAAAAAATTTACACTTACATACCAAGTGTGTTGTTATATAGCAACTTGGCTTTGCAGTGCACTATTTTATTAATATAAAGGTCCATTTATATTA